CCCATCTCCCTCTCTCTCTCTCTCTCTCTCTCTCTCTCTCTCTCTCTGTCAGGACTGAGCCCAGGGCCTTTGCACTAGCTCCAGCCCGGCCTTTTCACTGAGTATCTCCAGCCCAGCTCTAAGTGACCAGGCTGCCAGGCTGCTCCTTCCCGGGCCAACCCAGGTGCTGAACTGCAGAGCTGCGGGCAGCCTCTGGGACAATCAGTGAGACTTGCATGGGCCCAGAGGAGTGTCCTCAGCACTGGTGTCCCTCCCTGTGGTGACAATAGGAGGGAGGCAGAGTCAGGCTGTTGATGACCATTGCTGGAGATAGAGTGGGCCTGGGACACCTTTGTCCAGGTGACAGAGTGGGGACAGGCAGCACCCAGCTGGACGGAGAGTGACCAACAGAGCCCCCAGGGGGACAGCACTGCTGCCATGTGTGTCCTCCTGTCTGTCTGTCCCACCATCCCGGGCCAGCCTACAGCCTTGGCCCCCTGTTCCCACCTCTGCCCTGGAGAGGCAAGCACCAGCGTCTCTCTAGGTTTGTTTTGGAAACAAGACAGAGTATTTTCATCCATTGTGGCCCAGATTTCTTTAAAAGAGAAAAAAGATAATATATTTGGGGTGAGAGAGTGAAGGGAAGCTGAATCACTGAGCCAGATGGAATGAACCGCCCATAACCCCACCACTCAGGAGGCTGAGGCAGGAGGATTTCCATGAGTTCAAGACCAGCCTGGGCTACATAGCGAGACTGCCTCAGCAAAACAAAACAAATCAACAACAGCAATAATCCCCAAAGACAGAAAGAACTGAGCAAACAGTTTTTGCCCAGCTAGTGCCCTTCCGGGTCCCAGTCTCTGCTGCGGTCTCTGACTCACAGCCCCGGAGCAGGATCCAGGCAGTGGACGAAGGAGCTGCAGGGGTCTGCGTGTCCTGAGCCACTGGACGGGAACGGCTGAGGGTCCCAAGCTGAGCAGAGTCAGCTCTGGTGCCCTGAGCCCCTCCAGCGGCTCCGAGCTGGCTCGGGGACATAGGTGGGGCTCCCAGAGTCTCCCCATGAGACCTCCGAGCCCCTTCCCAGTGCGCACCCCCTTCTGCCCCCGCACACCCCTTCCACACCTCGCACTGCCCAGACCTAGACAGGCTTCACAGAGCTCTGGACTCTCAGGCTGCACCCGGAGCCCCACAGTGGCCGCTGCCAATGCCAGAGGGACAGGGCTGCACGAGCTGGGGCCAGGACACCCCGGGACAGCAGAGGGCCGCACAGTGTGAGGGGGTGGTAGGCAGAGACCACAGGCCGCCCCGCCTGACGACAGCGGGACGGGAGGCCCTGTCTCCTCCTGAAAACCCAGGCCAGGGCTCTCGGGAGCTTCTGAGTGGACCTGAGCCACTGTCGTGTCTCCTGAAAACGGGAATTTTATGTATATTTTATGCAGTAAGAAAGAGCTAAGTGTGCACGGTGCAGTGCGCAGCTTCCTCACCAGGAGCCACCGCTGCGTGCACACTCACGTGTCAGAGCGTTGCCACGGGAGCAGGGAGCATGTGCAACAACACAATGTGCCGTGGCCGCCCTGCAGGTCAGCCACCGGGGCTGACAGGACCCGCGATAGCTGACTCGCAAAGACGAGAGTCTACTCTGGCCCGGTCTCCCAGGTTTCAGCCCAGGAGCCCTTGGCTCTGTTGACTGGGGCTCAAGACCTGCAGCACTCGGCCTGTTCCAGGGCAGTGACAGTGCTTGTGTCTGAGCCAGGGAGCAAAAGGGAGACAGAAGGGTCCCTGGGCCCTCGGAAGGGACACCAGGCAGCGAACCGTCTCACTCCAAAGTTCCACCACCTTCTCCAGTGCCACCTGGGGACCCAGACTTTAACACATGGCCTTGTGGGGCGTGGCAGTGCATTCCTGAGATCCCAGCACTCTGGACGCTGAGGCGGGAGGGTCAGTGCAGGTTTGAGGCCAGCCTCAGCTATATAGTGAGTTCAAGGCCAGCTTGAACTATGTAGGAAGATCTGGGAAGAAAGAAGAAGAAGGAGGAGGAGGAGAAGGGGGGGA